CTTCGTCGAGGTTAGGCTCAGCACTTACCAGTACATGGGTCGGTTGTACTGATACTATACTCTACACTTCTTGTGAAGATTTTGGAGTTGGTCCCAGCGGCGTACCATAGACTTGCTCGGATTTCAGCTACCAGAGGAGACTTGAGGTATAACTGCATGGCGTCCGTAGTTCTGAAGTCCCCGTTTATTTTACTTTAGCTGTGTGTTTATTTCCAAACAACTTTATTTTATTCGAACCTTTATTTGTATTTATTCTAGAAGCTCGTGCACTTGTGACACCAATTCTTGGATGGTATTTAGACACCGTTGTTTTTATGGATTATTTCACCATATTTCAAACTTTGCTTCCGCTTTTGTTTCCTTGATTATTAATAAATTAAAAATTATTTAAAAATTGGTTAATATTATTCTAACGTTAGCTTGCCTAGCAAATGAAATATTAGGCGCCATCACGGTCAGAATGAGGGAATTTCGGGCCGTGACAATCTTGCAGATGAAGTACTTCCTTCGGGAAAAGGACGAACCACTTCTAAAGATAAGACAAAGTTAGAAGGTACTATTTATCTGAGGCAAATTGAGATTAGCCAAATCTAGTGATCAAATACCAGATGATTGAACAAAAAAGTTAAAACTCTCAACTTTGAAGTGACTTTGTCATTTGATCCAATTGTACTCGTTTAGATCGGAACACAAGTATGACTTCGCATAATATCCAAATTGATCTGGCAAATGTTAGATTCAAAAGCAATAATTTGAACCTCCTAGCCATAAGAGACATAGGGCTAAAGAGTGCCAGCAAAGGATATCTCAGAATTGGCTAAACTGTTTACTCTTGTGTTTTCTTGCTTCGCAAACTAACATTTTGCCCGTCTTCTAAAAAGTATTACGGAATCTAAAAATTTCTTCATAAACACACACTACATAGCACTTACTCAGACGAGATAGCCTAGATTAATTTCTATATCAATTGTCAGAAGATGGTTTCTTTTACGCAAATATATAGTACTAACTCCTAGAAAAGAAAGCAGCATTATCTGAGTTGACGCTTATCAACAAGATTCATCAAAAAGCATCACAAAAGTAAGTTTTTGCAATTAGCGATTTCGATTCAATTCTAAGCTAGCAGCAACCCATTTTTCATCGCTGCAAGGCAAAACACAAGCACCATTTGGAAGCTCCATATTTTCATTCCGGGGGAAAATGAAAATCTTCTCGTTTGGCAAAATACTGGTCCCAGCATATGTACCAGAATCAACAGACTCCGCAACTGAATCAGTTGAATGATCAAAGACCGCTGAAGCAGAAGACTGCCCATCAGGCGAGCAGGAGGCAGCAGGACATGGATCCCTGATAACAGAATATGTTTTGGGTGCAGTTGAGCATCTGTGTCTGTTTGCATTTGTATCTGTCTCTGCAGATCAGGCCAAATAATGAGTACTGGCACATAACATAACTGGAATAGACTAAATGATGCAGGTGATAAATTGGAAGAAACACAAAGTGCATGTAGATAATATGCCTATATAACCTTGTTGTTTAAGTTGTAAAGACTAAAAGCCAGAACCAAGATGCATGGCTCCAAGACAGTAGGAGACTGAGTTGGACGAAATGCAGCTCTTTACTTCTAAAGAATAAATGTGATTACTAATTGATGTTTCCAATAAGACTAAATAGGCTGCTCTATAAATGGATATTCCCTGGTATTGACCTCAATGATATACAGCCTAACTAAAAGAAACCCTCATAACGACATTGTTCTGAGATATTGAGCAAAAAAGGTATTTGGCCTAAATGATGTAGAGCCATATCACAGTTCCCAACTTGATATCATGATATGCATGTTATTGATCAAACCTATTATACATTAATTTAAAAACGCAGCACTTTGTTTTGTTTGCTGAAAAGTTTAGAAAAATGTTTTTCATGTCTACTTTTGCAGTGATGCATTAAGAAATTATACAGTTCCTTAAAAGAAACAATCATTAACAAGAATTTAAATGTCAGCGATACTCAGTTTGATTCTATCAGCAATATTTACAAAATACCATGAGGGTCCAACACAGCTTACCTGCTTTACACGAATTGAGTGAGAAAATCTCGTGGTCCAAATGCTTGGTTCAATCAATGAATTTGGACTTCAGGAATTACCATATTTAAAGTTTGATAATACCATCTAAGACTTTTATCTTTCTTTATCTTGACCTCAACTACTTTCCATGACATAATAAAACCCTCTACAGCTAAGAATGACCAAAACAAACTTGTGACAATATTTTTCCTTTCCAATACATGAAGTTACAGTGACACAGCTGGTAACGCGACACCCGTATATTTTGTTCGATTAAGAGCCTCCACAGACAAGAAAGCTATCACACCAAAACTGAAGAAAGTCAAAGTAAAAAAATCGAGTTAAATAAATGATGTCAAGGGGTTTCAGATTACAGAAAGCACCTTCTTTTTGCAGATTTAGTTCTTCAATTATCAATTTGGTTTTCTGCTGAACAACTGGTTGTGGTACATCGGTAGCAGCACATCCTGAACTGGCTGGAAGGACCTTAAGAGATTCACCTAGTTGACCGCCTGTAACACAAAAAGTACGAAATTGCATACCTGACTTAGAACTTGCCAATGAACCCAACCCTTCCGAGGTTAACGGTGTTGGCTTCGGAAGAAAAACAAAAGATATTTTCTTTAAGTTACAGGAAATAAAGAACATAACGATTGAGCAAATAACCTGATAATTGAGCAGAAATATTTGGATAAATGCAGGATAATTGAATTGTGAAGTGGGAAAATGTATCCAGTCTAGGATCAGCCGAAAGAAGTTCAAATAAAATGACAAGTAGATTAGAACCATCGGATTTTTATATCTTGTGGAGCGCTTTTAAAATAAGACCAAAAAAAGTTTTAGCAACTTTCTAATGCTCCTATTTATAGGTAAAGAAAGGTGAATAGCAGAAGCCATGTGTATTTCTCTCGGTAAAAATGAGCACTGAGGTTATTAATATATTCATACTCAACTTAGTATTTTACCATTAGTATCTCCAGATCACAAAATCTAAATGACTATGATTTTCGAACATTTGCTGATTAAACAGTATGTGGTCGTTCTCAACCAAGGATTCAGGGATTTGAAGAACAAGACATTTTGCTTATTCAAAAAAATAAGCTTTAATTAGTAATTAAAGAAATATGTTTCTATGAGTTGTCAATCATTTACTGTTTCAAGTTGAGCAGGACCAAGACAGAATACTTGGAGTGCAAGTACAGTGAGGTGATTCATGAAGCGGATGTGGACGTGAGGCTTGATACTCAAGTCATCCCCGGGAGAGGAAGTTTCAAGTATCTTGGGTAGGTAATCCAAGGAAATAGAGAGATTGACGAGGATGCCGCATATCATATTGGAGCGGGATGGATGAATGGAGGCTCGCATCCGGTGTTTTGTGTGATAAGAATGTACCAGCAAGACTTAAAGATAAGTTCTATAAAGAGGTGGTTAGACCAACTATGTTGTATGGGGCAGAGTGTTGGCCAGTCGAAAATTCTCATGTACAAAATATGAAGATGGCAGAAATGAGGATGTTGAGATGGATGTGCAGGCATACTAGGATAGATAAAATTATAAATGAAGATATTCGGGATAAAGATGGGTGTGACCTCAGTGGAGGAAAAGATGCGGGAATCGAGGCTTAGATGGTTCGCGCATGTGAAGAGGAGAGACATTGATGCCCTAGTAAGGAGGTGTGAGAGGTTGGCCGTGGTGGGTCTAAAAAGAGGTGAAGTATTGGGGAGAGGTGATTAGGCAGGACATGCATGGTGCTGCTTCAACTTGCCGAGAACATGGCCCTTGCTAGGAGAGTGTGGAGGTCGAGAATTAGGGTATAAGGTTAGCAGGTAGTCGTGAGTTTTCCTTGTCAATACCAGTAGTATTAGTGTTAGTCCTGTACTTTCTTATTTTTAGATTTCTATTATTATTTGTTGTTTCTTTCGCTTCGGCTTCTTGCTATCTTGTTGTTATTACTGCCTGTTGCTACCGCTTCTTTTCTCATCCTTGAGCCGAGGGTCTATTGAAAATAGCCCTACCTACTCAGGGTAGGGGTAAGGTTTGCGTACACACTATCTCCCCGGACTCCACTTGTGGGATTACACTAGGTTTGTTGTTGTTGTTGAGCAAGTGTTTTTTCTTTTTATTTTATTTTATTTTATTTCAAAGCTATTCTGACTCTTCCTTCTTAATAGGGGTAAGGTCTGCGTACACACTACCCTCCCTAGACCCCACTTTTGGAATTACACTGGGTTTGTTGTTGTTGTTGTTGTCGTCGTCGTCAAAGCTACTCTGAGTAAGAGTTAAAAAGGATGTAACTATCATCTTGCTTTAAGTTCAACAACCTTACGGTACACCAAGAAATGGGTATTGACGCAAGTATTGAACGGCCACTTTCATCAAATATTGTAATATTGTGAGTAAACAGAAACTGCCGAAGTACTTTATGTCCTTGCAAACTTTCCAGACAAGCGATTGAACAAACTAATCTCATTTAATGATGTAAAAGCATATAGTATCTTGTTCACATCATTCCCAAGCAAAACGACATTATCACATTTTTTTCACGCAGATGTAGCCCAATTAAAGAAGAGACACAATGCCATGGTAGCTCATGCAGACTGAACAGATCAAACTAATAATGACGAGGCAGTAATGGAGCTTTGGTGCATTTTAGCTGATCAGAAGGAAAATAGTATATTAGTTGTGAGAAAGCACGGGAGAAAAATATATTATTGATATTCTATTAAGTATTTATAATAGCCCGATTTATAACTATACACAATACATATTCAACTCCTATTCCATGTGGGACTAGGGTTATTAACATAATTATCTATCACTCTCACTCGAGTCGGTGCGTAACAAATCATACGTACCGAGCTTGTTACATATATAACTAATATGAGGACTACTGAGGGACTTGGCGAAAATATTTGCAAGCTGATCATTCGACTTCGCAAACTTTGTAGCAATATCTCCTGAGAGTATCTTTTCTCTGACGAAGTGACAGTCAATCTCAATGTGTTAGGTTCTCTCATGAAACACCAGATTTGATGCAATATGAAGGGCAACTTGATTATCACACACAAATTCCATCTTGCTGATCTCACCAAATTTCAACTCGTTGAGCAAATGTTTGATCCAAACTAGCTCACATGTTGCCACAACCGTTGCTCGATATTCTGCTTCTGCACTAGACCGAGCAACCACATTCTGTTTCTTACTCTTCCAAGACACCAAACTACCTCCTACTAAAACACAACATCCGGACGTAGAACGTCTATCAGAAGGTGACCCTGCCCAGTCAGCATCTGAGTATCCAACAATTTGCTTATGGCCTCGATGTTCAAACAATAATCTTTTGCCTAGAGCTGATTTTATATATCGAAGAATGCGAACAACTGCATCCCAATGACTATCACAGAGAGAATCCATAAATTGAGAACACGAGGAGCTAACTCATCTTTTGCTAGAGTAAGGTTATGAACAAAACACGTTCTTCCAAAGACACGGGGTGGAAGAGAGAAGTGGGGAAACAAGACAGAGAATGGAACTAGATTCTGGATAGCTGAGGATGGCATACGATTAATAAGATAACAAGATGTAAGACCTGCATCCCCCAAAAACGCAACGAAACATGAGATTGTATGAGTAGGGTACGAGCAGTTTCAATAAGGTGTCTATTCTTTCTTTCAGCTACCTCATTTTGTTGAGATGTGTATGGACAATATATTTGATGAACAATCCCATGAGAGTTCATAAACTACTGAAATGTGGAAGACAAATACTCTAGGGCATTATCACTACGAAATGTGCAGATAGAAACCCCAAATTAATTTTGAATTCAGCGTGGAAGGGCTGGAAAATAGAAAATAACTCAGATCGATTTTTCACCAAAAATATCCAAGTGCACCTCGAATAATCATCAATGAAACTGACAAAGTAGCGAAATCTCAAGGTAGAACTGACCCGATTAGGACCTCAAACATTTGAATTGACTAAAGTGAAAGGTGACTGCTCGATTATTAGGACGCCGAAGAAAATGGGAGTGAGTATGCTTACCGAGCAGTCGAGCTGACATGACTCACTCTCTACAGTGGACAAGTGAGATAAACCAGGAACCATTTTCTGAAATTTTGACAAACTGGGATATCCCAATCGTTTATGTAATAAGTCTGGTGAATCAATAGTAGGACGAGTTGTTGAAGGAAGATAAGATGTGAGTCCATGTGATTTTCCAAGGATAAGGTAATAAAGTACATTTGATTCACGCCTGGAACCAATGATCCGCCATGTACTGTATTCCTGTAAAAAAAAACAAGGTCATCAAGAAATAAAACAAAGCATTTAAGTGATTTGACTAAGCGACTAACGGCTATGAGATTAAAAGGACTACCGGGAACATAAAAAACTTAATCTAAAGGTAAGGAAGGAAGTGGACTTCCTTGACCTATTCCAGTTGTCATAGTTTGAGAACCGTTGGCCATTGTGACTGTTGGAAGAGATTGAGAACAAGAAATAATAGTGAAAAGAGATTTGTTACCAGAAATGTGATCAGATGGGCACCTGAATCATAGACCTAAGACTCGGAGGATAAAGATTGGGAGACACAAGTCACGCTATTACCTGTTTGAATAACGGAAGCTATCTTTGAAGATGTATGTTTACATGTTTTGTACTGAAGGAACTCAATATAATCCGGTAGAAAAACCATCTAATTATTCATAGTATTGGATCCCATTTTGCTACAACCAATTTCTCAACTTCTTGACTAAAAGTTGTATGGTTAACCTTGGAATGCCAAATCAAAATACTTCTTTTTTAAAACATTGTTCACTCGCCAGAAAATAAAAGGTAGTCGGAATTTGATGAAACTTGAATGGACAAACTCGAAATAACCTCCTGAGCAATCTGTCCAAAAGAAGCTTTGTCGGAAACTAGCCGGAAGGTGGGCCATGCGCCTGTGCGTGGACAAATCTCGCCGGAAAAAAAATCTAGCTCTGGTCGGCGCGTGGATGGGAGTTTTCCGGTGGGGTTTGGTCGCCGGAGGGTGGAGAACACTGTTGTGGTGTTGGTTTATGCACAACACCGGTAAAAAAATAGTTTTGACGCAAACAGCCACCGGAAAAATTGCACGGCGACTGTTTCTTCAAGGAATCATTGGTAGATTGCACAACGAGTATTTTCTCACTACCGCTCTGATACCATGTGAGAAAGCACGGGAGAAAAATATATTATTGATATTCTATTAAGTGTTTTACAATAGCCCTATTTATAACTATACACAATACATTATTCTAACTCCTATTCCATGTGGGACTAGGATTATTTACATAACTATCTAACATCAGTTACCAGTGCTACAACAGGGTGAAGTACATAACAGGATAGCAAGCTTGTAGCCAAAACGGCTCAGGCCAGAAATGATACAGAGATACAAAGAGCGTGCAAAATGTGAAATTCTCTCAAGGATAGAAGAAAATAAGGAAACAAAAGTGACATGAGAGAATCCGGGTGAGATAGTGGAAATGATGTAGCTGGAAAATCAAAAGAACATGTTTGTTAAAAACAATTGACTGATTCTGATTCTAAAGAAGGAAATGAAAGGAACACATAACGCCGCGCTATATATTTGTTGGGACTCTGCAGTTCGTAGCTCCATCCAATTAATTCCAACGGATGGAGCTATTGCAAGTTTGTGCATTAAGGTGACATGCAACCACCCCATTTACAGGTTTTGTTTCCCGTATTTACCAACCATCAATAATCAGACCATTTATACATGCCCAAAGGTTCAAAAGGGGTCCTGTGTGACTTTTTACAGAAAATAGGAGACTCCACTTTCACCAGAAATTATAGGGGGAGTCAGTCGAATTCTACTAGTTGGTTCTCCTGGCCTTTATTTTCATTTTCTTTCACGGGGAGAGGGGCATGCTAATAAATCATGAATGCTACCTTTATTAACAGACACGCCAGTATGCCTCCTGTTACAAGCATCGTTTTCAACTTCATTTGCCCTGATTGTGTGCTTTGCACTATCTTCGATAGTTGACTGCGAGCTAGAAGATGCAACCCCTAAGATACTCTTCAAATTACCATCAGGGAGATCAATTTGACTACCCTTACCTGAAAGGAGATGGCAATGTTATTCCATCAGATATTGGACATTCATATTCACAACAGAACAACAGGAAGCTGCAAGTCTTTAAAACCTATAAGATGCTGGAAATATTGTTAGGTCTAAACAAAATATTTCAGTCACAAATAGATCTTAATATCTCCATAGAAACTCGCGTTAAGCATCCTTTCATAGGTGCAAATGTAGGTTCTTGAACTATTTATGGTACCTTAATGGTTGTTTAACCAGCTGTAACGAAACTTCAACTTGATTGGTGTGCATAGTTTTCCTAGTTTATTAATTTCTGCAGTTCGGAACACCATGTCCTCCTGCTTAGTTTTATATTGTCTTTAAAAAGATCATGTTTCCTTATCAGAAATAAAATTCCATGTGATTATTCCTTGTCCCACAATCAAAAAGAAAATCATTGATTGTCAAGAAAACTAGCAATTGTGCTACTGAGTGTATATCTTCCTTACGTTTCACAAGGGCATTGTAAGCAACCTTTGCAGCATTCATCTCTGCTTGCTTCTTGGTTTTAGCTTCTTGTCCTTGAAAAGTCCCACCTCCAACTTCCACAGTTGAACTGAATGTTGGTGCATGAGGTGGGCCAGCTCTGGCTGTATCATAAACTGGAAAAAGTAAACCCTCTTTTTGAGCCAGTTCTTGCAAAAGTGTCTTGTATAAACCTTCATCCTGATGTATTCAAAAAATAAATATATAAATACATAGAAGAACTAAGAAATGTAGTGCACGAATGATCTCCCAGCACAAAGTAAAACAAAGACTGTTTAAATTAGAGGTGTTAATTGGGCCGGGCTGACCCGCTACAACCCGGTTCAACCCGGGTCAGCCCGGTCCAGCCCGTTACTGTGCATATGTGTGCGGGTTGGGACGGGTTGGACAGGGGGCGGGCTAGTAACGTNACTCCCCCCCCTCCCTTCCCATTTTACTTGATGGTGTTTTAATGGACACGGAGTTTAATGTGCTAAGTTGACTTACACGTCATATTAGTAATAGAAGAACATATTAAAATAATGGTTGAAAAACCAATTTGATAGAGAAAATACCACATCAAAATTTAAAATTTTAGCTGAACGAATTTGAATTTTGACAGAGTTACCCGGTACTTGTGTTGGTGGGAGGTAGCGGTATCAGTTACCCCGTGGAATTAGTCGAGGTGCGCACAAGCTGGCCCGGACACCACGGTCATTAAAATTTACCACATCAAAAATTAAAATTTCAGCTGAACGAATTTGAATTTTGACAGAGTTACCCGGTACTTGTGCTGGTGAGAGGTAGCAGTAGCAGTTACCCCGTGGAATTAGTCGAGGTGCGCACAAGCTGGTCCGGACACCATGGTTATTAAAAAAAGAATTTGAATGTTGAAGTTTTGAAAGTTGTACAGAAATAGAATGGATCAAACATTTCGCACCAAAGAGCAAAGAGTGTTACATTAACTGGAAGAGACTAACCTCCTGAATGTCATTCAGCGCTAATGACTCAAAAGCACCTTTTGCAGCTGCATGTTCAGCTTCCTTCAATGTAGAGAAGAATTCCTGAGTTTCATAAGTTTTTCCATCAATAGTCACTTTTGACCTAAAACGACAGGCGTGCGGAGGGCCATCAAGTTCAGAAGAATACACGGGTAAAGTGAGATTTTGCTTTTGGGCATACTGTTGTAGTCGATTCTTGTATAGATGAAGCATCCCTGCAACATGGATGAAGTTGTAAGAGTTAGAAACTTGACATAAAAGTATGAGAAATATCTAAAGTCAGTCAGATGAACTTAAAGGCATTCGCACATTCTTGAAAAGTTGTTCAGAAATGAGGCATCCAGAAATATGAAATATGAAATACTTCAACAGTATCTCCCATTGCTTCCAAGCATATATATTACTGTTTAGCTACAATAAGATCAAAGCATTATCCGTCTTTTAAATGTATCCTTGAACTTAACCACATCTTCTTCAGCAACTTTCTCTTATGAATTTGAAGCTCTGTAGAGATTCACGGAATTCAATCACTGGTAAATTCCCTCACACGCCAACTCTCATTTTGATAAGAAGATGAATTATAAATATGCGAGCAATGAGTAGTCAAGTACAGAGAGATGAACAAAATATTTTTAAAAGCACAATGGAAGGAAGGAACATCTGAAGGAAATTGCTAAGAGATCTCATCTAAGATCCACTATAGCCACCGTTTGAAATTAATGTGCTCACAAGATAGAGACACCAAGAACACTATTGCAGTGGACCATCAACCGCATACTGATATAGAATGAAAAAGTTACACTGGTCCAGTTGACAGATAGGTTGAACCTTCTACTTATCCAGAATTAGAAGTAAGCGACATTCCCACAAATTTCCTTTCCTGGTTTAGGCTTTATGTGTCAAATCTCGACTGCTTACACATGCTTTCTTCCAGGTACTGATGAAGTAATAACTCATAAAATCCAGAAGGAATTTGATCCATTTACCAGGTGTTCCAATTCGCTGAATAAACTTATGCTTTCACCCCACAACTGTAGGTTTATCGCTCTTCTTGTCAGAGTGATTTACCTTAGTTTTAAGGGGCATGTATTCAGTTTGAAGCTTTTAAAGGATTAGGTAGAATATTATACAATTGCCACAGCAGTAATACAAAAAAACAACACGAAACAGAGCTAAAAGAAGAGAAAATAGCTAGAAAGATGCAACTCAGTAGGGCAAATAATCATCGACTTCTATGCCACAGAACATAACCTTAGAACCAATACTGCCTCCAAAAACCTCAAGTATACTAGTATGGTTGAGAAGCATGAAATCTACTGTTTCTTTAATTGTCTTGTTCCTTTTTTTATGTTCCTAATGGTAGCTCAGGGTTTAAATGCAATATGTGCAAAACATATAGAGAATACACCATTAATAACCAACATAATCACACAAATAAAATAAATTGCTTAACCAGTAAAATTACTGGTCCTTAGTCATATACAACAAATCCCATCCAGAACTATCATCTATAACATCAAGCAATGAACATAATTAGCATTGCATTTAACTTTAGAGGGTTAGCCGGAGAGGAAGCCAGACCATTTCATCACATCTTCAATGCACTGGAACCAACTTTGTCCTCATCATTTTCAATGTGGTACATTCACATTTAACTCTTTTATTGTTATTATATTCCCTTTTGACAGAGCATTCACAGTTAACTCTTGTAGTTATCATTTACCCTTTTGACAAATATTTAAAACTCTTGTCATGGAAAACATAGACTTTTTATTTCTTCATAGCTTTTCCAAAGAAGCCAAATAGATTACAATCAAAAGTTATTCACCAAATTGTAGAAATTCATATGATTTTACATTTCATTAGCTTATTATATCAGGAGAAAAAAGCTGATTATGAACGGGGTAATCAAGATGAAATTACATGAATGAGAAAAAACATCTTAGATAAAAATAGGGCATCATGACTGACCATTTAGAAAACAGACGAACTGCTCGTGAAGTTTTACATGATCAAAACACTTGCTCACTAAGCTGGACGGAGACATTGGCTTAACAAATGTGGAATAAAGGAAATTGCAAGCTGAACTGAATAGAAACAATTGTACAAAACATGTGGAAAAATGAAAACTAGGAGAGGGTTTGAATCTGGGTTTGAGAAGGAATTTTTTTTTAACAGGATGCAGAAAGAGCGGCTTCCTGATGGAAACAATTGGAAGTCTGAGGTTGCTGCCTGACAAAGAAGATCCTCTGTCATTGAAAGGGGACAAGAAGTGCAAAGTTCACTATAAAATGCTACAATATTCTGCCAAAAGGACCAAATGCAAAAGAAAATAGGTCTTGGAAGGCAGTATGAACACTAGAGCCATATCCAGAGCTGCAGTTTTTGGTTGGATTGCTATTAGTATTGCCTGCCTAAAAGAAATTGAAAGCTGAACTGAATGTGGAATAAAAGAAATTGCAAGCGGAACTGAATAGAAACAATTGCACAAAAAATGTGGAAAATGAAAACAAGGGGAGGGTTTGAATCTGGGTTTGAGAAGGAATTTTTTTTTATCAGGACGCAGAAAAAGTGGCTTCCTGATGGAAACAATTGGAAGTCTAAGGTTGCTGCCTGACAAAGAAGATCCTCTGTCATGGAAAGGGGACAAGAAGTGCAGTTCACTATAAACTGCTACAATATTCTGTCAAAAGGGCCAAATGCAGAAGGGAATAGGCCTTGTAAGGCAATATGAAGACCACCCAGAGCTGCAGTTTTGGTTGAATTGCTATTAGTGTTGCCTGCCTAACACAAGACAACCTACAAAGTAGAGGATATCACATTGATTTAGCAGTAGATGCTATTTATGTAATTACAAACTGAATCGCGGGAACACTTGTTATTGCAATGTAGATATTCATGGGAAGTATGGTCCATGTTCTTGAATATATTTGGGGTGAAATGGGTGGCCCCTTTATCAATAGCAGATGCAGCAAGAAGCTGGAGTGATCAGTAGATCAGAAGGGAGCTCAAATGCATCTGGAAGACAGTGCCTCTATGCATTTTTCTATAATTTGGAAGGAGAGGAACTATAGGTGTTTTGAAAATCAAATATTCATCCCTACCATGATACAATTTAGTGTTTTGCAGTCTCTATAATCTTGCTGTAATATGAGAGATATTTAAGGTGTAAATGCTTTTGTGGGCATTCTAAACTCCTTACAGATTTGAGGGTCTAGAAATGCTTGTTTCTACACATATTAGCACATTCTTGGTGCCTAGCAATAAAATCCACATTCTATCCAAAAAAAATGAATGAAAACGAGGTGAATGTTTTATTCTAACCTTTCGAGGTATTAGCGTCCCTACCAGCCAATGGAGTTCCATTGACACGAGAAGGTTGTCCAGCGTTATTCTGTCTTTGTTGAAAAATATCCATATTTGGAGGTCTAACATCCACCTTCTCAAAAACATCCACCTTACTGCTTGATGTTGAAGCGCCTGCCCAACTAAGTAAAATGTAACAAATTAACAATATCAAGGCAATTTTCCAAATACCGCATAAGTATTCCCATTAAATGAAAACGAATATTTTTTCTTGTTTGGTTCTTTTTTTCAGTTGACTGTAAACTTGATCATCAAGGATAGAGACACAGCACAAGCTTTGGCTTAAACAGTTAGACAAGCAGCAAAAAACAGATAACAATAGTAAAATTATATTCTTATTCAGTTAATTCAATTTACTATTTGGTAAAATAAGAAATTATTTTCAAAACATGAAAAGAACTTGGATATTTGTCCCCATTTTCTATCAAAGTAATGTGATCAGGAGGTCAAGGGTTCATGTTGTTGAAACAACCTCTTGAAGAAATGCAAGGTCGGGCTGTATACAATAGACCCGACGTGGTTTGACCCTTCCTGCACATAGTTAAGGCTTACTGCACTGGGTTGCCTGTTCCTTTTTTAAATAAAAAAAAGGAAAATACCAAACCAGTTAGGTAAACAACTACTCCCTCAGACATTGTTCCCGATTACCTTTCAGGGATCAAAACTTGACCATATTCCGAAAACTTAGACGTGAATAAATTCCTCAATGCATAAGTAAATGCCAACTCTTTAACTTATACGCATAACAAAATAAAATGAGACGTCTACATTGGGAAATAAAAAGTACTCCCTTTGTTCCCATTTTATATGACACATTTTCTGTTTTAGTCTGGCTTAGGAGAAATGAGACCTATGTAAATTTAAAAATAATATAACTTTAAACTTCTCATTTTACCCTTAATGTCAATGATTTATGGGATGTGTATGGATTATTGTAGACCACTCTGCTGCGGAGGGAGTAGTAAACTTATCGTAAAAGTACGACACCAAAGCACAACGTTCAGCAACTACAGCATGAAGTACAACAGCAAAAACAGCACCCATAACCATAACCTTATACTATCAGAGAACTTCAAAACCCAAGAAGAACAATCAAAACTGGTCGCAAATCAATTACTTACATAAAAAATGACTAAATATACACTTTAAAATCCATATAATAGCCCAATCAGTTAGGAACTAACCAGAAGAAGAGGAGGCTGGTAGTGCAGCAGCAGGTGAAGGTGAAGGAAGGTTGTGATGTGAGAAGGCCTGGGCGGATTTGGGGGAAGTGAAATGGGCAAAGGCGATATGGGCAGCAAGATTTTGGGCTTCTTTGGAGGATCGGCAATGGTCCTTGGGTGACGCAAAGGAGAATCCATTGACGGTAACAGTGGCTGTGAAACGAGGGTTGTGATCAGGTCCCTCTTTCTCCGTCCCGTACTCTGGCAAATTCCACCCGTACTGGTGGCAAAGCTCTTGTAGCTTCGTCTTGTACATTCTTTGTGACTCGAGAGAGTTAGGGGCAACGAGTGATAGGGAGGTTCCGTGGAGTTGTACATATTTATAATGTAGAAATACTTCTTTTTTGGGAAAATAAATATTAACAAGGTGGTTGGATGGTTGTTACATATCGTTTACGGTGTATTATTGTATTGTACTATATCGTATTATTTGATGAATACAATGTTTGGCTAGATTGTATCGTTTGTTATCGTTTCATGATATCACACACCAGCAATATGAAGAATAAACTTGCAATATTATAAAAACAAATTATGATACGGTATATAAAAAGGTAGGGTAAATGATAAAATAAAATTATTTAATAATAATAAAAGGTGAGATTGAGAGAAAAAGACATGTCAACGATGCGACCACACCAAAAGTGGCACATTTCGTCGTTACGTAACGACGGATTTAACGATACGATACAATAAAATTTAAGTAACAATCAAAACAAACATCATATTTAAAGTAACAATACGATACAATACAATAGGTAACAACCATCCAAACAAGATGTAAAGAATATTTCTTTAATGTTTCTTCAAGTTTGGCTAATAAATTACCATTATCTAACTATGTTATGTTATTATAAAAATGCAAATAAAAAATGTTGATCTATTTGTATACTCGTCAAAAATCACATTAAGTTGCATTCTCCGTTAGATAGAAATTATAATCATGCATACTTTATGTAGAGGGTAAAATATGTTTATATTAAATGATCGCATGAGAAAATTATAATCATGACCGAAGACAGAAGATAGTTGAATCTGAAGGCAACGATCCTGTTTGTTACAAGAGAGAATGATACCCATAAAGATGAAATAAATGTCTGTCACTCGGTAACATTTAATGAAGAATATTTTACAGCATTAAGTACACGGCCCGTTACAAGGAATATGACATTTACTGCTTGCCGTTACATATTCTTCAATGGCCCTCATAATTGAAGTTAAAGAGGGGCTTGATCCTAGGACCTTGTTCCGTGGGTGCAGCTATAAATAGTAAGCTCTATTATCATTGTAAAGGACACGAATTTTCTGGCAAACATACGCTACACTCTATGCAAAGCTCAATATAATTTCATCTTCTTGTTTACTGATATTGTTACTATTGTCCCCGAAAGCCCCGCTCCCGGAATTACTATTTCTGCTATTTTATCTCAATCTCAAGGCTAAGTATTATATTTTTGTCTAATTCATCTATTATTTTAGGATCAAATTAATTCACTTATCTATAAACCACGTATAAATTCAACTGTACCATTTTACGGGTAAACAGTTTGGCGCCCGCCGTGGGGCTTTGTGTAATTAAGTTGGCCCTTGCCTCTTTTACTAACGCGTTTGATTATTTGTTCTTAGCAAAAAATTATAGAAAATGGCAGATAATGGTGTTAACAACATACATAACCTTGAGGCCCAAGGAAATCAGCCTCAGCACGAGGATTCAATCAGTGATACCCGCAGTGAGGGGAACGAGGCCACACTAGTCCACGGCACACGGTACACGCGACATGTTCAAGAGGCAACTCTTGATGATGCTAAAGAAGAGCACGTCGTCGAAGCGGTAAGGGTCTTGCAGGAGCAACAAGAGGCCATTTTAGGCCATCTCACACAGTATGATAAGGTTATCACAAAGTTGAAGCAGGCATTATCGGGTGCTTCCAATAACGCGAATGAACGAGATCCAGTTCCTCCCGGTGCTCCCCCAAATCAAACAACGCAGAAGGTCGACAACAGCACCCCGAGGGGAGAGGTCGTCTTCGATGGGGCAGAGGGGAGCGGATCCGATCACAACAACGAGAGTGATCCCTTCAAAAACGAATTCATACAGTTTATGAGGGAAGTAAACGTCTGCATGGACCAAATTATGGGCGCACCACTAGTGCTGAAAGGGCCGGACTCAAAGAAGTACACTCAATTGTCGTACATACCAAGCGCGGCACCAGAATTGATCCTGAAGCGGTTTAAATGCCAGATGTGTCGAAATATGATGGAACTTCATATCCTCAGGAGCATATCACCACCTATACAACGGCGGTGAAGGGGAACGATTTAGCTCCCCACGAGATAGAGTCAGTTTTGCTGAAGAAATTCGAAGAGACTCTCACGAATGGAGCCTTGACGTGGTATTCATTTTTTCCCGAGCATTCCATAAACTCCTTCGATATGCTCGCATATTATTTCATTAAGGCCCATGCCGGGGCCAAAAAGGTACAGGCCCGAAAGGCCAATATATTCAGGATTGCACAAGAAGAGTCTGAGTTGCTGCAAGAGTTTGTAACCCGATTCTAGAAGGAAAGGATATTGCTACCGGGCGTTTCGGATGAATGGGCGGCTGAAGCATTCACCAAGGGTTTGAATCCGAGAAGTTCCAATGCTTCCCGGAAGTTAAAAGAAAGCTTGCTCGAGTTCCAAGCAATAACTTAGGCGGATGTTCACAACCGGTACGAGTCAAAGATAAGGATTGAGGATGATCAACTCAGTTTCCCGGTGTTGTTTAAGGGTCGGGACTGGGAGAAGAATAAAGAGAAATCAAAAGACGATTTTGATACAACTCGACGGTCTTCGAGGAGCCGGTTTTTGCCATATGAACGGTCCGAAGAATGCGACAGAGGTTTTCGATCGGCGGATAGGTGCGTTATAGATAGAAGAATTGATCGCGGCTGGAACAACAAGTCGTTACAGGATAAGGAAACGTCAGGTTCTCGAGATTCTCCCTACCTTAAACTTTCAGAATATAACTTCAACGTCAGTGTAGTAGAGTTGGTGTCGTCCATGAGGAATATTAAAGAAGCACAGTTCCCAAAGCCAACGAGATCCGATCCCAGTCAGAGGGATCCTAATTTGTGGTGCGAATACCACGGGACAAATGGTCACCGGATCGGGGACTGCCGGTATCTGCACGAAGAAGTAGCGACACTGCTGAAAAATGGCCATCTCATGGAATTTTTAAGTCACCGAGATAAAAACAATTATGGTCGCAATCGTGATAACACGGAGCCCTCAAAAGCAGGAGAAGATCCCCTGCGCCTGATGATCAACATGATTTTTGGGGGAACGAGATTAACGGGGTTACATTCTCGACAGCAAAATAGATGAAGGTATCAGTAACCCGCAGTAAGAGGCTCCGGGAAATCACTAAAGACCACATCACTTTCACGGAGGAGGATGCAGATTGTTGCTACCACACAAGGACGCATTGGTAATCTCTTTAAATGTATTAGATTTTAAAATTAAACGTGTTCTGGTGGATCCAGTGAGTTCGGTCAATATTATACAATGGAGGGTATTGGAGCAAGCCAAGCTCACCGGAAGCATCATTCCGTCCACAAAACTCCTCGTCGGGTTTAACTTAGCCAGCGTGACAACCCGAGGAGAGATCCTGCTGCCCACGAATACCGAAGAGGTGATGAAGACGACCCCTTTCGAGGTGGTGGATGGTGATATAGGCTACAATATTATCCTGGGAAGACCATGGTTGCACGATATGAAGGTTGTGCCATCAACATACCACCAATTGCTGAAATTCCCAACTCCCGAGGGAATTAAACAAATAAGAGGTGACCAACTAGCGGCAAAGGAGATGAATGCAATTTCAGTCTCTAGTAGCAAAGGGAGGGAGCATGCGGCATAGCAATTATAGGAACCGACGCCTGCTCTCGAGTTAAGTGAAGTCAACTGGGGGAAGAGGCATCAGAATCTTATCAGGTGCCAAGGTATTTCCAGGTACCAGAAGAGACGGACACAACAAAATCCACAGCGGAAGAGGTTGAGCAAGTCACATTATTCGAAAAGTTCTTGGAGAGGAAATTCCACTTGGGGACAAGACTGCACCCCGAACTAAGGTCTGGATTTATTAAATTTCTTAAAGTTACGTCGATTGTTTTGCATGGCCACATGCGGATATGACATGTATCCTATCGGAAGTGGCCGTACACAAGCTAAGCTTGGATCCCAGCATTCCTTCGGGAAGACAGAAAAAATGTCCTATTGTTGAGGCTAGAAAGAAATTCGTCAAAGAAGAGGTAACTCGCCTACTTGATATCGGTTCAATCCGAGAGGTAAAGTATCCAGATTGGGTAGCTAACGTAGTAGTAGTTCCAAAGAAGAAGAATAAATTTCGCATGTGCGTAGACTATAAGGACTTAAATAAGGCATGCCCAAAGGACTTGTTCCCATTGCCGAATATTGATCAAATGATTGATGCAACGGCCGAGCATGATTTAATGAGTTTCCTCGATGCTTACTCTAGGTACAACAAAATTAAGATGAACCCAGAAGATCAGGAAAAAACTTCGTTCATAACGAATTTAGGCACATATTACTATAATGTGATGCCCTTCGGGCTAAAGAACGTCGGAGCCACTTATTAAAAAACAAATAGGGAAAACCATGGAAGTTTATATAGACGATATACTTGTTAAGTATTTGAACGGAGGTGATCATCCTAAACACTTGTAAGAAACTTTTGACATCCTAAGGAAGCATAACATGAAGATTAACCCCAAGAAGTATGCGTTCGGGGTCAGGTCCAGCAAATTCCTGGGATTCCTGGTGTCACAAAGGGGGATTGAGGTTAACCCCGATAAAATCAAAGCCATCGAAGATATCCCGGACCAACTATCAAGCGTAAAAGAGGTTCAAAGGCTCATGGGGAAATTGACCGCTTTGAGAAGGTTCATTTCCCGGTCTTCAGAGAAATTCCATCATTTTTTCTCGTTACTCAAAAAGAAGAAGAACTTCGAATGGACCCCGGAATATCAAAAGGCTTTAAGAGATTTGAAAAGGTACTTGTCAAGTCCTCCGTTATTATCGAAGCCGGAGGAAGGCAAAAAACTGTTAATCTACCTAGCAGTCTCGGAAGTAACGGTAAGCTCTGTTTTAGTCCATGAGGATGAAGGTGTGCAATCTCCCATTTAATATGTTACTAGAATTTTAACGGGAGCAGAAACTCGCTACCCACATTTGGAGAAGTTGGCCTTAGCCCTCGTAGTCGCCGCTCAGAAGCTAAGGCCTTATTTCCAATGTCACCCGATAGCTGTGGTGACCACCTTTTCCCTGCAGAATATCCTTCATAAACCCGAACTTTCGGGTAGGCTGGCTAAAAAATTTGACATAGAATATAAACCTAGGACTGCGATTAAGTCACACGTTTTGGCCAACTTTCTGGCCTATTTCAGTCCGGGATTGTTACCTTTGGCAACCAAAGAGGCAGTGATGGTGTCAGAATCGACATCAGGAGTTTGGACCCTATTTATGGACAGAGCTTCTAACGTAAAAGGGTCCGGGCTCGGCATAGTATTAACCACGCTTTGGGGAGAAACCCTAAGGTAGGCCATAAGAACGGTTCCTCTAACTAACAATAAAGCATAGTATGAAGCTTTGATTGTAGGGATAGAATTGGCTCGGGGACTAGATTCTGAGGTCATAGAAATCAAATGAGACTCCCAACTAGTGGTAAATTAGGTCTACGGGATCTTCGAGGCCAAAGAGGAACGCATGCAGTAATACGTAATGAAGGTTCAGGCTCTGCTTGCTCGGTTCCGGGAGTAGTTAATTACGCATATTCCGAGGGACAAAAATGCAGAAGCGAACGCATAGGCTAACCTTGGCTCATCTATGAAAATAAAGGGATCGGACTATGGTACGGTCGTACAGCTTATGCACTCGGTTCTTGATGTAGATAGCTACTACAAGATAAACGCGACTAATTTGGTCTGGGACTGGAGGAATGAGATCATTGATTACCTCAAGCAAGGAAAGTTTCCTGAAGATCCCAAGGCATCCCGAGCGCTACGCGCTAAAGCAGTGCGATATTATTTCAAAGGAGGCCAATTGTACAGGAAATCTTTCCAAGGCCCGCTGGCCCGATGTTTGGGACCCTTCAAAGCTAATTATGTTATGCGAGAAATCCACGAAGGGATCTGTAGAAATCATTCGGGCGCAGATTCCTTAGTACTAAAATTAGTAAGGGCATGATATTATTGGCCCCGAATGGAACAAGACGTCAAAGCTTATGTTTAAAAATGCGATAAGTGTCAACATTATGCATCGTTGGTACACCAACCAGCAGAACCATTGCACTCAGCTTTTTCTCCATGGCTGTTCATGAAGTGTGGAATGGATATTGTCGGACCACTGCCGCCGGCCCCTGGTAAGGTGAGGTTTCTTTTGATTTTAACTAACTATTTTTTTAAGTGGGTTGAAGCAGGTCCTTATCAGAAGATCGGTGAACGTGAAGTGATGGATTTCTTGTGGGAGAACATAATTTGCAGATTTGGGATACCAAAAGAGATAGCCTGCAACAACGGGCCACAATATATAGGCGCAAAGGTCAAAAAGTTCCTTGAAGACTTGAAAATCAAAAGGATCACATCTTCGCCCTATCATCCTAGCGCAAATGGTCAAGCAGAATCAATAAACAAAGTGATTATACAAAATCTCAAAAAGAGATTGGAAGCAACTAAGGCAAATGGCCTGAAGAACTACCAGGTTTATTATGGGCGTACCGAACAACGGCCAAATCGAGCACGAGAGAGACTCCTTTCTCCCTTGTGTATGGAGCAGAAGCCCTAATCCCGGTGGAAGTAGGGGAGCCTACCTTGAGATACTTCCGGGCAAATAAAGAAACAAACAATGAAGCGATGTTGGTCAATTTGGAGCTGCTTGATGAACGCAGGGACTTGGCGCATATAAGGATGACAACTCAAAAGCAGAGAATAGAAAGATATTACAATCGAAGAGCCAACCTCCGTTATTTCAAAGTGGGGGACTTGGTTTTAAGGAAAGTGACTCAAAATACCTGGGAACTCAATGCAAGGAAGCTAGGTCCAACATGGGAAGGCCCCTACTGGGTTGCAGCTATTACTGGGAAAGGATCATACGAGTTGGAGAATCAAGATGGAGAAAAGTTTCCAAGCAACTGGAACGTGGCACACCTCAAGAGATTCTATTTCTGATGAACATAACCTATACTGAAAGTATGTGCTGCACTCTTTTTCCCTTCGTCTAGTTTTTGTCCTAATGGATTTTTCTAGCAAGGTTTTTAACGAGGCAGCAATGGAAAACATACTACGAAGGAAGTCTCAACATCAACAATAAGACCTTTTAATGACAAGGCACACAAGCGAAGAACCACTCTGGAGCGGTTTGATAGTCTTTTGCTCGATAGCAAAGTTCCTACCGGAAAGTTAAGTTTGCTATCGAACAAAGATTACCCGACCGTTCACAAGTGCATGCCACTGGGGATTGTTAGATAATCTTTGGCTCGATAGCATAAAATCCTAAGAGGAAGTGAAGTTTGTTACTGAACTGAAGATTATCTAGCAATTCACTAGTTGAATCCTCGAAGGTGTAAAACTTCCACTGTTCAAACACGCATTCTTCGCATTTGAACATTGGGGGGGAATGATATGAGGATACGACAACAATGACTACCGCTTCGACCGGAATACAAAACCCGAAAGCATAGTTGTATCATTGGGACTGGGGACTGCGTGGCCAGCCCCGTAGAAATAAGTTGTACAAGTTAGCCATAAGAAATGGCAACAATGACTGTCGCTTCGACCAGAATACGAAACCCGGAAGCATAGTTGTATCATCAGGACCGAGGACTGTGCGGCCAGCTCCGTAGAAACAAGTTGTACAAGTTAGCCACAAGAAATGGCAATTTCTTTTTAGCACAACGGATGCTTATATACTTTTGAAAATTGAAGGAATAAAGTAAAGTCCTTTTATTTTTATCTTGTTTCTTGTCTTGATGATGAATTGATTTTGTCATTTGAAAGTTAAAAAAGTACATCAAATGCTAGTGTCGTAATGAACAGGAGACGTCCTTTTCAAGAGCACTGTAAACATAAGAGGGCACTCTTTTATGAAAACCCTCACGATAAAGGGTTGATTTCGGAAGAACCTGTACCCGAAATCCAAACGCTTTCGGGGGAAAATACACCCAAAGCCTTGCATGATCAGACGCAAATAGTAAAACTTGCGCAAAACACTTAAACGAAAAAGGACGCAAAGATCAAACTTGCATAAATGTTTAAACGAAAGTATGAAGAAAGAAAAACTCATACAATACTTGAGCAAAAAGTATTTTT